AAAAAATCACCCAAAATCAAATCAATTTTTCTTTTTCAAATATAAAACAAACAAAAAATTTTCTTCATCTTTTTCACGAAACCATCTGGTGGCGAAACGGAGTTCATCGGGTTTGCTAGTTTATTATAAATACATACTGTAAATGCTTATTAAATTGGGCGCCAAGCGCATTTTACAAACAACTCATGTGTATGTTCATAAAAAATTTATTCTTTGTTTTGAAATTTGATATTTTTGATAAATTTGAAATTTTCAAATTCCGATTTTTATAAAAATTCAAATTTTTTGGAATTTTAGAAAAAAATCGATTTTTTTGAATTATTTGAGAATTTGGAAATTTTTGGAAATATACGTTTTTTTTGAAAATCTCAAAATATTCTCAAATTATTGATAAAAATTGTTTTTTTCTTAAAATCTTGATATTTTTTAAATTTTTCAAAATTTAGATTTTTTTCGAAGACAAACACCCCCCAAAAAAATTTTCGTCAACGGATTTTTTTCTACATAGTGAATAATGCAGCAGTACTTTATTATATTTCTACTTTTTTCTTATTTTTTTTATTCAGCCACAAACATGCGCTTCAAGTTACGTGTTTCGCTTATTGTTCTTGATTTTTTTTTCTAATTGTTTGAATTTTTTAATATAATTATAATTAATAATTTTTTGTGCATTTCTATTTAGTTATATATATGTTTGCCATTAATACAAAGCAATTCTCAAATTTAAAATTGTACATTCAAATACTATTTATTCTGCCTTCATTACATTTATCTTTCATTACATATGACTCATATGTAATTTTGTAATAAAATTTTTATAATCTTCTAAATAAATATAAACTTTTTCATAAACCAATAAATTTTTTATTCAATAGAATTCAGGCATATATCTCGTTTCACATCTTACTGCTCGATTGTTACGCGACAAGAATTAAAAACATGCAGCGTGTCATTTGTTCGAAGATTACCCACATTAGGGCTTACAATACCGAGATTCCGTAATCCCGAATACCAGGATCCCGGACGATTTTTGTCCGGTATTCAATACCGGTATTGATATAACTAGTGGGGCGCACGGCATCGTGTCTTAAAGCAAATTGCTGGAACTTCCCGTACCGCAATTAAACATTCGAGGAATGAGGAATGAAAATAATAATAATTTAAATTGGGCGATGAGCGTATTTTATAAACAACTTATATGTACGTTTACGAGAGTCCATTTTTTAAATTAGATTTTTTTGATAATTTAGAAATTTTTTCAAAGTTTTGAAATTTTTTTAGAAGTTTAAATTTTTTTGGAATTTAAAAAACGTTTTTTTAAATATTTTGAAAATTTTGAAATTTTTGAAAACATTCGATTTTTTTTTTAATTTTCGAAATATTCTCAATTTTTTTGTAAGAAATCAATTCTTTTAATTTGCCAAATTTAGTTTTTTTATGAAAATGAAGAAAACTTTCGAAAATATGAATTTTTTGACAATTTTGATTTTTTTTAAATTTTCATAATTACTAAATTTTCTGTAAATGCATTTTTTGCATACCATCTACTCAAGCAAAATGTTTTTTGAATTAATCTAATCGGATAATCCATTCTCTCAAAAACTGCATAACTGTTTTTACACACTTTACGCTCCATACCTCCGAAACGGCAAAATTGTCTTTTGCAAAAACGCCTCGCGATCGAGTATACGAACCGAATGATTTTTTAATCATACAAATCGGTTATTCCATACTGTCGAAAATGTCGAGGAAGCTTGTTTGAACTATGTAAAAAAACTTCAAAATTAAAAATCTTACACAAAATGTGTACACAATATTAAAATTTCTATAAAATATCTGATAATTTGATGTACATATGTCCAACAAACATTTTTGACCGCCAAATGACATTTTTTTAAATTTATTTTTCTGAGAGTCTATAACCGATAGACCTGCCCTCCCAAAAATTTTACCAGTTGTTCCTTTCGTCAATACAAGTAAAATGTTTTTTGAATTATTAAAATCGGACGCTCCGTTCTCTTAAGGGGGGCGATACATGTAACAAGAAAAAAAAAAACGATTTTTTTTTTTTTCATAAATCGTTACAATAACATCTCAAAAATATGCCTGCAAAAATTCAAAACAAAATTATCATTATTTATACCTTAAAAACTCATTTAAGTGCCACGCCTCAACTCGACGCTCGAGTGCAATTGTACTCTTATCTGTTTCTGTGTCAAAACCCTAGACAATATAATAATATGGTCAAAACTTTAAACGCGTTTTTCTCAAAACGACATTTTTGAATACTGCGGGCGTGATAACTCAAAAAGTTCTCAACCGATTCCAATGAAATTTTGCACACATCTACTTTACAGTAATAGCTTCTAGTTAAACCTCAAACATTCCAAAAAAAATTTCAAAAATTAACCTTTTTACCAAAAAAAACAGTGAAAAAATGGTGAAAAATCGAACTTTTTTTTTCTGAGGTCTGCCAATTTACGATTTTGTGACTTTTTTAATTTTTTTTTGGTTTAACTAGAAGATATATGTTTTATGAATACGTACAAACTAATTTTTTTGAATTCAGATCACCGTACGAAAAGTGAGAACGCCCGCAGATTGATGGCGTTTTCCGAGAGGGTCTTGGCAGATCTATTTTTACGGCAGCCATTTAAAAAAAAAAAAATAAAAAAAAAATGTTTTTGTGTATTTTAATATATAATAAATAACCATAAAAAAATTCAAAAAGATTCAGTTATTCCTTCCCAGTTTAAAAAGTCCTCAAAAAATGGTAAAAATTAAGGCGATTACATGTATCGCCCCCCTTAAAAACTGAGTTACCGTTTTCGGCACCTTTTGCCCCGTATCTTTGGAACCACTAGACCTACCATCGCCAAAAACTAATCAGCACGTCTCCTTATCAATACGAATCGAATGCTCTTTGAATTATTAAAATCGGTTGATCGGTGTTCCCGAAATCGTCGACGAAAATTTGTATCCGCACACACACACGCACACACATGCACACACACGCACACACACACGCACACATGCTCACACACATACATACACACACATATATCCATTTTTTCTAAGGTATGCCAAAATATTCAGAAACCTTTGAAACGTAAAGATATATAAAAAATTTTCATTTTCGATTTTTTTGCGATTACTATAACTTGCCCTAAGTTAAAAATACTGGTATTTCGCTATTACCAATATTATGTTATAAAATTAACTCATGCAAAATGTTTTACACATACCGAGGCGAGTACGACGGCATCGGCGTTTGTTTATATTGAACGTCTTGAGACTAGATATTGTTTATAAAAATTATTATGCGTCCACGTCATGTCAAATGAATTATCAATGATTTTTAAAAATAATATACAAATGAGACGATATAATTCATTATATTGTAGATCTTCCTATAAATCATTCATATTTATTTACTATTTTATTATAATAAAAATTCACTATGTCAAATCATCGAGTGATAGATAATCCATGATAAGATTGGCCTCGGTGGATGAATTCTTTCTCATGCGTCCGTTTGCAAATTCCTTGAAATCGATAATATCTAATTATGATTTAATTAGAATCTAAATATTCTGTCTATACCAAGTATTAATCCATACTGAATAATAATGTATTATATCTTAATGACAATTGTGCCGGCAAGTGTAGAATGAGAAAGAATGAATTGTTTATGTTTTTAAGGGGATATTTCAATAAATAAAATATGAGTTATTAATTTTATTTTTAGTTTCCTTGAATATCAATTATTGATACCAGTATGCCGGTAGTTAAATTTGAAATATCAAATACCGATTTTAGTATGGCATTAAAAGTCCTACTTAAGGCAAAATGTCACTTACGCCAAATTTGGGTTCTACCAATTCAGAATGACTTGATGAGAAATTTAACTACCTGGTTCAAATAAGTTAATTAATTTTTAAATAAAATTAGACTTTGAAGTGCTGCTTACAACTATGAAACCGTTGCCGGTTCCCCGAATTTGGCAACCGACACCAGCACAGTTCACAGTTCTAATACACACACACTCATACATCCATTTTTTTCTAAGGTATGCCAAAATGTTCGGAAACCTTTGAAACGTTAAGATATATAAAAAATTCTATTTTCGTTTTTTTGCGATTTCTAAAACTTACCCCACTGGAAGTTAAAAATATCAGTTTAATGCTCCTCGAATATGAAATATTGATGAAACAGGCTCACAACGGGTCAAAAATCTAGAAAAATAGTAACTGCTTGTAGCCAAAACCAAATTTAGGGCAAAATTTCGACCTATAAAATAATTCTTGTATCACTACTTGCATTTTCATTTTTCCCAGGCTTGAATATTCTAAAATGTTTGTTTCTGGTGGACCGCCAGATTGCATCAAAGCTGGTAAATCCTCCGGATGGATGACAGCTATTTATGGATCATTTTATCAAACACGAAATGTTGCAAGCCTCAATCACGGAGTAAGTTGTAATACCGCACTTTTGGAAAATATAAAATTTTTAATTGTAAAATAATGAACAATAGTTCTGAATTTTTTTTATTGATATTGATATAATATTTTCATATCTCAGTCAGGCAGGGGTGCCTGGTATCATCATAAACATATCATTTATGTTTATTTCATTCTACATTTATAAGATTTATATTTAAATATCTTTAAATATTTCTTCAATCTCTTTTGTCTTCAATTTGTTTTTAATATTTTTTTTTCTTTTTAAGTTACCCCACTGGACACCAAAAATAATAATTCTTGACATTATAATATTAATGTGTAAATGAACAATAAATTTCATATCGAAACACATTAATAAATTTCAATGACATTTACTTTTGTTCAAATTTTATTTCAAAAATCTGCGTTCCTATTGGCTCGAATCCGAAACAAATGAGAGCAAAATCTGTCATGTCCCATTTACACAGACCTGGTTCTCCATACAACTTTTTGCAATAGTTCAAAATTTCCATTAACAATACAAAATTAAAAGTAAAAATGTTTCAAACTAGAAGATTATTCCTACTTCTCCCTCAATTCCATCATAGAAGATCAATGCATGTTAGACCCCAAAACTTTTGGAGAACGAAAGAGGCTCAAGGTGCTTGTGAGAAGTGTGTCATCCATGAGGTAAATATATTTTTAACTTCACATTGAAATATTTACAATTTCTTTTTTTCAAAACCTCCTGAGTCTTCTAGCGTTATTTAAAATTGCAGAATATTAAGATATCTACATTTTAGAAAACCGTCCGAACCGACTTGAGTGAATTAATAAGTATTTTATACGTAATGACAGTGCTTATCGGAATTACGATGATAAATGTGATAAAATCGGACATTTTGAGACTAAAAATATAGGAATATAAAACAATAAAATATTTAATAGATATTTTTGATAATATATATGAACTTTTTAAAAATATTTGTCCAGTAAATTAAAATGTCTACTATTTATATGTTAAAGATTAAACTTTTATACGAAAATTTCTTGTCTATGAAGTAAAGCATAGAAATTTTTGGATATTGTTTATTAATTCTTTCTATTGAAATAACTAATTAAATAGAAAAAATATCGTTGCAGGCAGATGCGGATAAGGCTCCTTTCTACGAAGTCGTGCCTGTAACAAACGACCGAGCAACTGCGGTAGTAGCATATTTAAGAAACAACTATTTCCAAGATGATCCAATAGCTAGGGTAGTAGGTCTCTCAAAAATCAATGACACAATTGAAAAAGTTGTCTTGCAAAAAATCGAGGAAGGTGATGGGGTCCTGGCGGTTTCGTCGTGCCCGGATCGTCATATATTAGGGGTCGCTATAGGTAGCCCTTTCGGACCCATGGAAACTGATCTCACTTATCGTTTGGCCAAGGTTACTGAAGATAAGCACCTAAAGAATTACATGGAGTACCTGTCGCACATGAAATACTTGCACGATATTTCTACCAGCCTTGCCACCCAGAAGATTTGGGACGTCTGTGTATTGTCGACAGACCGAGGACCCCGAGGAATCGACGTTGGCAAAATGTTGGCCAAGAACATTCTCGTTCTGGGCAAGGATCATGGGTTCAGATTTGGCAGATTGGATTGCATTAACTCTTTAAGTACGACCATCGCCAAAAGTCTGCAGTTGAGATTGATGTGGTGGTTGGAATTTAAAGATTTTTCCAACTATTACCACGATGCTATGTATGGTGTCTTATGTCCACACAGTGGCCTTAGTGTCTTTATTACTGATCTTAAGTCTAAGAAGATCAAACGTTTCGAGAGAGAAATATTTGAATTCGAAGGAAAGCAACAGTTAATGAAACTACGTCCAAAACAGAAGTAATTTTGTAAATCTTTTTTGTAAATCATGACAATTCTAATAAAGTTTTTCTAATGTAAATCAATAATTGAAATATTTATTCTGTTGTAATTACCAGGTAATAAACTAACTTTGTCAAATTATTAAAAATTTTACAGTAACTTGCACAACATGTAGGGTAGAGAGAAGCGTAAAAATCCCCGAATGATCTTTTTATACCACCATTATTTCAAAAGATAAAGTATGTTATTTTTTAACAATACTGTTTTAAAGTAGATAGTAATGTAAAAATAAAATAGTCGTGTGCGTAAATTATTAATATAAGTAAAGAATTTATGATCACTAATACAAATTTAAAAAAAACAATTCTCAAATATGGCAAAAATTAGTAATATAGGGGAGAGCTCAAAGTTCCACCACCAAAATCAGAAAAACAAATAAATTTAGATTTTTTTAATAACAATATTTGAAGGTGTAAGATGTATAACCAAACACCACCTTGATTCTAACGACGTCGCTATCAGGAGATGTTTAAAAATCCATAAAAAAAGTATTTTCTTTTGTTGTTAGTTTTTCTAGTTGTGTTGTGAGCACTATTGTTCAGTCTATGAGACCTTAATAAAAATTCTAAGTATGCGTTATTTAATTGATTCATAAGACGTATTGTTATTTTCAAGATAGATTCAACAGATTTTATTATATAACTTCTCTAAAAGACTTGATCTGAGTGCGGTAAAATGAATCGACAAATCAAGGTTATATACAGTGTTATCTTGGTAAAAAATGTGACTTATATTTTGCATTTTTTGAATAATGTGGCGATTATTTCGTAATATATCTTAGAATTTGAAAATAAGACATTGAATCCGTTTGTCACTGGACTAGGATAGATAACAAATTTTAGAAGAACAGTAATAAAAATACATTTCTATAATTAGGAATTAACTGATAATCTTATTGAACATAGTTTGGTAGCTGTTTGTGTGACATATGTTATTTGTTGTGATGTAGTCGTTTGGTTTAGATAGTATAATAACTTAAAGTCAAATTGGACCTTCATGCCCCGTCCTTCTATCGGTTATTTAATTGTTTCGGACATACGGAGCTAAATGTGCAAAAAAATGGCAGTTTTTAAGAAAACTAAGCATCCGATTTCAAAAAACTTTCTGCTTGTGTTGATGGAACAATAGCTTTTGGGATTCTTTTTATTCCAAAATTTAAGTTTTTATTTACAAAAAAAAAAAAGGTGTATATCAAAAATAATTCGAATTTTAGTTTTAATTTTGGCTTAAGTTTATAAGTCTACTTATACACTTTAGATAAATAATTTTAGCTTTGCAATTCAATTTATATAATTTTTATGAGTATTAGACAATGCCTTCATTTTAAATCCGATTAATTAAGTTTTGTTTATTTACTTTTCTGAAATACATTTATATAAACGTCATTGTCAAATTCATAAGCTCTTATATTTTGTCTATAAAATAAAAATAATGAAAGTTACGCTACGGTACGGAAATTTCCAGCAATTTACCTTAAGGCTATGCCATACACCACTAGTTGTGAATGTTTTTTTTTACGATAGATATCATGGTGTTTTAGAAATAACTAAAATATTACGGTCCTACAAGTCGATAAATTTTAAAAATTCATCAACGTTTGAAAAAATATTCTGGTCAAAATTTGTGCTAAAAGTCACTTTTATGATGTGATAAGTAAAAATTTGAAATTCACAAATTTATTAACCATTCGAATACCTTTAGGAGGGGCTGCGATTAGGTTTACGAGAAGATCGCCCAAGCCATATTTTTAACTTCCCGTAGGGCAAGTTATAGTAATCGAAATCGAAAATGAAAATTTTTATATATCTTTACGTTTCAAAGATTTCTGAATATTTTGGCATACCTTAGAGAAAATGGATGTATGTGTGTGTGTGTGTTTGTGCGTGTATGTATGTGTGTGCGGATACAAATTTTTGTCGACGATTTCGGGAACAGCGATCAACCTTTTTGAATTATTCAAAAAACATTCGATTCGTATTGATAAGGAAACGTGCTGATTAGTTTTTGGCAAAGGCAGGTCTAGCCGTTCCGAAGATACAGAGCAAAAAGTGCCAAAAATGGTAACTCAGTTTTTAAGAGAACGGAACGTTCGAATTTAATAATTCAAAAAACATTGTACTTGTATTGACAAGATGAAGAATTGATCAAATTTTCATAAAGGCAGGTCTAGCGGTTTCGGAGATCCAATGAAAAAAGTAAAAAAAATGCCATTTGGCGGTCAAAAATGATCATAAGACATATGCATCAAATTATCAGATATTTTATAGAGATTTTAACAATAGATATAATTTTTTTTGTGTCTATGGGTTCCGTACCAATGCTTATCCGTTAGACGGCGGCGCGGCACTTAAGCGCTTTGACATTTCGTCTCTATGCAGTTCAAGCAGTACGATTGCTTTGAAAAAAAGTTCAGAATTTCCAAAATATGTCAAAATGAAGAAAACATTTTTTTTTTCAAAAAAGGCACGATGCCATGCGCCCCACTAGTTTGGAAAAATAAATCCACAAAACTATTCTACGTGTAGTTGTGTAATAATATATTACAATTAATTTCAATGATAAAATAATATTAAGGACTACTTAAGGAATACATGGTATATGTATAATTGAGCCAGTATTTTCTTATAGCAAATGCTCAATATTACACAGAATAATTTCTTAGATTTCGTTAAAAAAATGTTTCGACATTTTTAATAAAATTTAACAAGCCGATAAAGTTCATGCACTAAAAGTCCTACGAAAATTGGTTGAATTATATAAATTAATTAAAATTTAATGAATAAGGAATAAGGAGTTTCAATTTTAGTACATACAAGCACATATCTGCGCACTATAAATAATATAATAACATACAATTTTTCAAAATCAATCAAAAGATGGAAATTTTATCTTAATATCTAAATCTAAATTTCGGTTGATTAAGTCAATTATTACGCATTTCGTGAAATTTATGCGACATGCCATAAGGCGAAATGCCAGTTCCAAATATTTTATTTCGTATTTATAATAATTATTATATTTAATATACAAATATCATATAGAGGTAGCAAAAATATATTTTAATTATATTGCTTATGCATAAAAAAAATCAGAGTATAATCATAAAATATTTTTTGTAAAATAATTCGTTATCAAAATAAAAAATATAACTTACATGAGGCGGATCTCGTTACACGTTCTGAAATAAAAAATCAAAATTAGTTATTTGATATAAATTATTCAGGTACCTATATATATAACGTACATCAAATATTGTCTATAAATTAAAATGCAATGATTGTGATTCCATTTACATAGGTGAAACTGGACAGAATTTAATAAAACGACTAAAACAACATGATAATAACTCAAAAAATCCTCGACAAAATCAAACCATGATAACAGAATATATAAAAAATTTTAAACATTCTTTTAACTTTTACAACGCTAGTATACTTTATCACGAACGAAACATTATTCAGAGAAGGTTTGCTGAATCTTTTCTAATCAGCATTAAAAAATCTTGCATTAATAAAAGGTGTGATGCCTCCTTACTCTGTGAAAATTATCAGGTGATACTCAATAATATTTCCAAATTTGTTTCTTCTTAACTAACGTAATTCCGAACCTGTAAAGCTACCCTTACGCGGT